ATAGGATACATATGAAATTTTAATTTTAACTTTAAAATAACGTTTTATACAGTGAATTAATTTAAAATATACACAAAATTTGAATAATTTTAATTATATGTCTGAAGGTTTTTTTACAACATTTTTTTTTATTGAAATCAATGAATTAAATGAATAAAATGACCAAATTTTACTCATGTTTAGACAGTATTTAAAGTAACAGTTCAAAGCGATTTTCATAATTACAGATAGAATAAGATTTATCGTATTTTGTTTAAAATAATTACATTTTTACGTAAAAAATTTTTATTTATTTTTTGTTCGTATACTCATACGTACGTCTTCTGTAATTGATCGGCTATTATTCTTATTATATGTAGTCTAATTGCAAGTTAATTAAACAATAAGTAACTTTCACTGAATTACACATTTAATGTTTGGAAATAAACTTTATTATAAAATTCAAATTTGTAATGTATTATAATTACAATAATGTATTATAATTAGGAATGGGTTCTCCCACACTTTGAACCCTCGAACACCTCGAACTTTAAGAAATTTGAACAGTTCGAAGTTCGAGAAAAATGCATTTTCGAATTCGAACATAATACATAAAGTTAGTTTAATAAAAAATATAAATTAATAACTAACAAGCTATGTAGTGATTAGAAATAAGTTATAAATAATAACATTACATAATAATTTTATTTCTATTATAATATTAAACTTTTTTAGTTTGTCATACCTAGTTAGTTAAAACTCAAATTTTTAAGTTTTAACTTTTAAATGTTTTAATTTTTCAAAGTTCGAAAGAGCGAAAGTTTAAAAATAGTTCAAAGGACCAACAAGTTCGAGTTCGAGTTCAAGTTCGATCAGTTCGGATAAAAATTTAGTTCGAGTCCGGGTTCGAGTTTGTGAAAACTTCAGTTCGACCCATCCTTAATTATAATTATTATTATTATGATCGAAAGAAATGGAGGGATGTGGTAATGGTGGCAAAGGCTCTGTTAGAGCTGTGAAGGTCAGTGAATAAGAAGAATTTAATATAATGTAATGCTTAAGTATTTATTAAGTGAGTTTCAAACGGATTGTTAAGTCTCTAATAGTAATTAAAGTTTCAGTAACAAAAGTTTCAATTCAAGAAATATTGTTTGTATAAAGCTTAATTTTGTATAATCACGTATTTTAATAAAAATACAGTTTAAATAAATACTTTTGTAAGCCAATAATTGTATAAATTTACGTTTATTTGAAATTAAAACTTATTATTTGTAAATGCTATTGATAACATTCATATTTAATAACAACTACTGAACAGTTGCATTTAGAACAAAATAATAGATTTTAGATAAATTATTTGATAATTTGGATTCAAAGAAATTATTCAGACAAACATGCTCGCAAAACAGAACATCCTAACCATACATATCAAAATATATTATTTCGACAAACAGAATTGATTTCTCAGCTTCGCTTTTACTATACATTGTTTTATGTTTCATTTTTTTAGTTTTATATTGTTTACTTAAAGTTTAAGATTTTAATCGAGAAATCTATTTTCTTGGATACTTTTAAAATATTGATATACATAAATTTTTGATATTCATCACATTTCACGATTTTGATACCGAACGAAAAAATAAAACAAATGAAAAATAAGTTTATTTCATTACATAGGTACCGCAATTTTAACGATTTCGTCGGGATGTAAAATAGAGACGGTTCTATAATGATGATATAGACCTCGTTCCGGTAAAAATAGAAGACATTAAACTTTTTCTTTGACACTCAAATTATTCTCTTTCATTTATCATATTTTTGGAATGATAGAAATAAAAAGTTCCAAAGAAATGACAAAATAAAAAAACAAAAATGAAGAACAAATGAAAATACTTTTAGTAATATACCAGAGAACTACGTGTTTGATGTTGGTCAATTTTTTAAAATCAAAATTTCGGGAGATTATAAAAAGAAAACAATTCTGATATAATTCTCAAACCTTAATTGATGATAAAAATTAAATAAACTCTACACTACATTTTATTGATCAATTAAAGTATAATTTGATATAATGTTTATAATAATAATATAAAATCAAATATTTTTCATTTATTGTTACTTATCTTTGAATAGTTTATTTGAACATAACACACTATTATCATACGTTAAATATTTTAAATCACAAATGTATTTCCTATTTTAACAAATATTTTTTGTGATTTTTAATTTAGCTTATAAAGATTGAGTCATTGATATTCATACATTATTAAAACAAATAAGCATGGAATATTTTCAGCAATATCACAGTGAGTAATTAGGTACTTATAGTTATAAATTAATATTAAGTCAAACGAGTACGAGTATGTACCAACATTTAGAAATCGTAATTTTAAATAAAAAAAACTATTTAAATATTTGTAACTTAAAATCATTTATTCATTATGTTTCGCAAAGATTCACATAAAAATATTCTAAAGAAATCAAAAATAAATATTGGTATCGATGTTAAAAAATATGTAATTCAATGTGGGTATAGACGTAGACAATGTTATATTGTTTGCTGTATAAATTTAGTAAGCACTGTACATTCGGATACTTAACTCATACAATTTCATTTTCGACCAAATGTACAGCGCACGTGAGAATTATAAATGAGCAGACACGACGACTAATAATAAATCGTATCCATAACACGGAAGCCTATGGATTATTCTCTAAGGTTTTCGACAATTTTTCGAAAGGATTTACACCATTAGTGGCGTGGATCATGAAAGTGCACGATTGATAGTTGAAGCGGATTAATGTGTGAGAAAAAATAATAAAGAATAATAATATCGAAACTGTACAATCAAACGCTAATACGTGAGCGATAATGAAATGTTAGTAATAAAAATAGTAAGACAATAAAGAAGCAACGAAGTTATGAACAAATGGAAGTATAGAGAGAGCCCAGAGTGCGATTGCGGTGTACGTATAAAGTAGACGCAATATTTAATTTTGGACTGCCAACTAAGAAGATATTATGGTGATTTGGAGGATTTCATCTAAGTACCTACTAAGGCATAGTTAAAATATTCAGATATCGAATTTTAACCAAATTTAACTCATCGTGATACTTGTAGTGATATTTATTTTGATTTGTTTAAACCTTAATATGTTTATTTACACAAGCTATAATCACACTGTAATCTGTCACTAAAGGAACATTTTATAGTGATATCGTTCGTTGTAATATCGTACGAATAAAATAAAACAATAAAAACAAACCTTATATTGCTTGTTCGTCTCGAGTACATGTTCGACGTGATTCGCGTGAGTTGCTTTCAATCCTAGTCGAAAAGAGATGACGGGTACATACTGCGGGTGCGGTACACATAGAATGAAACATTGTTTCAACGATTAGCCGTGAGACAAAAAGTTACACTTCGACACACAGCGTTGGGTTCGCTATCATCCGCCTGGAGGACAATAGGCGTGGTTGATAATTTATTTTAAACGTCCACGTTATGAGAAAGACCACGAACAGCGGAGAAATCCGTTAAACAAATAATTGTGAAATACGAGCCCACCGATTATGAGGTCGACAACAGTCGAAAAAACATCGCGAATGACGAGGAAATGTGCATGGCAGATAATTTTATTTATTTATTTCTTGTGTTGTGTCTTCGTAAAATATTTATAGTTTTAAAATTTCTATCCCAACGGACGAAATTGATTTGCACAAATATATCACGAACATCCACGATCATTATAATCAAGACATACATATACTTAACATAATGGTATAACCTTCAGTAACTTAGAACTTACAGAACTTACTTAACTCAGAACTTACAGTGCTGCTAAAAGTTAAGTTTAAAACGTGCTATTTTGAGGTCTTACGGGATAATCGAGTGCTCGCCCGTTCTGTCCCAAATACCCAATGAAGGGCAATTTTTCAAAAGCCCTTAACCTCTCAGGGTAAATAAATCCCGGTTACGTTACCGTATTAAGTGCTTATGTATAGTGTCAAACTGTGCTCAAAATATGCTGCAGATACCTCGAATACGTTTATCAATTATGTTTATTTTATATAAATAAAAATAAACCACTCTTGACTACACTTCATTGTCAACTTACAAACGTGTCGTCAAAAATGTGTACAATTAACAAGATAAACAATGCAAAATCAAAAATATATTTTTATAACGTGTGATTACGTTACTTTAGATTTTATTGGATTTTTTTAAATTCAGTGTTATGGCGATTTTCATAAAAGTGACCTTCCACAATGTAACGCTTTTCGTCGTAATTTTATTATAACTATTTTTAATTAATTGTCTGTACATTGATTTTCAAAAATGTTCAAACCTGCATATTTAACATCATTCAATAAACTTCTATAGTATTTAATTACTATATATTGTTGTATTCGATTGAACTAATCACTAATAAAAAATACAAACAATTTAATTACTGAATTTTTAGCATTTTTTTGAACAACTATATCACCAGGTAAAAAAAAATTAATATTCTTCTAGAAACTTGTTGATATTTTTTTAAGCCATGTAGTGGTCAAATATTTTTATTTCCGTAATGATAATTTTTTTGCACAACGAATTTTTATTGCGTACCGTGTATAGCTGTACGTTTACGAGTATTTTAACGTGTTAAAATAAAGACGGAATAATATCGTATTACCGCATTATACAAGGGTGAATCCAACAACTGTTTACGGTCGATGCACTTTATAGGAGAAATTATATAATTTTATAAATTATATAGCTGATCATAGGCGATTGTAGGGGTGTCTTTAAGGGGGCTTAGATTCACCAAAAAATAATGTAACAATATTGTACTAAAACTGTCTATAATTTTTATAAACTATTACTTGATTTTTCTACATATATTTTATTTTTAATGTTACTTTTTTTCAACAGGAGTGACGATTGCCTTTAGTTCCCCTTCATGGGTCTGTCCATGGAATTAAATTGTATAATTATGCTATGATATATACCATAATTATTAAAACCGTAACTCACTTGTATTGGAAACCAGCAGAATGCGAATATGGCGACTACAACCACAACCATCCGGGTCACACGCTTCTTGCCCCGCCGACTTTCGGCCGACGGCGGTTGCCCACCCGGATTCACACCCTTCCACAGTCTCATCAACATTAACACGTACAGTATGCATATGATGGCCAGTGGTATGGCATACGACGTGAGGAAGAAAAATATCTGAAACATTTGACAGATATGTTTTATTCTCATATTGTTATTATTACGATGCGATTTTACTGCGGGTGCGTGCATAAACTACTGTGCATGTAAGTTGTATACAAATAATATGTAATGTGTTTGGGGGAAAAAATCAAAAAAAAAGAAATAACAAACGTTTCGCAATAATTTCGTTCATACCTCGTAATTCAATAACTCAATAATATTATATAAGATTTCAGGGAGTTCGTGGTAAGTAATATACATAGCAGAAACTGGAAAAGTACCGAAAACAACCAGTTTTGGAACCGAAATCACGCCTAAACCCTAAATTGAGTTAATTTTTAGAACTGGAACCCCACTGGAATTCTTAATATAATTAATTTGAAAACCGGATCCTTATCGGAACTGAAACTTTTTTGTGAAGATTTTTACGGTTAACTTCGGTCCTTTTATAATTTCATTACTTTTATTTATACATACCATTAGAAAGTGATAAGAACTTAACAAATGCTCAGATCTATTATTATAATTAGGATTGATCACGTTCAAAAATAATCATTCAAGTACCTACAAAATTCAGACGTAAAAGTACAAAATATTTCTATGTGAAAATTGATAACAATTTAATAGGAATTGTTATAAAATAAGTAATTTTATTTATTACGAAGCATATACGTATAAGTTATATAAGTTTTCTAGTCATCACAATAACGAGAAGTTCTGAAAATATTTTTATAAATAACTTGACATGTGACTATCGGTATCTGATGTACTGTACGCCTGAGTGGTTAACACATTTCTATCGTTGTTAGCAGAAATGATACCTATTTATCACTTAGATCAGGCGTGTCAAACTCAAAGTATCAAGTAGGCTAAATATATTGAATAGTTCATACATGGCACATACACAAATTTAACGAAAAAAAAATTTTTATATTATATATATATATATATATACAGAAATTCATCAATAAAACTTACTCGATTATAGTTTAACACAACATAAGACATAATTATGTATACCAAGTATAACAATCTTTAAGAATCTAAGATAGTTGTGACATGACATTAATATTTTATATTTTTTTTAATATTCATTTTTTATTTTGTCCATTAATATTGGTAGCGTTGGTCGTAAAAAAATTAGCCATGGGCCGAATACAGTTTAATTAAACTACACATCTGTAATATGAGAGATTAGTCGTAATGAACCAATGAACGGTAAAATTTACTTTTTAGTGAACTAGTTCTAATCGTTCACTAAGGTGAATAGTTTATTTGAACTAGGTCGTTAATAAACGACAAAACTCTTGTTATTGTTTTTACTTGTGACCGCTTACATAGTGATTTGTTATTTCCGATTATACATTATTATGAATCGGTCTAACACATTAAAAATCATTCATATTTATAAATTTTTTTTAAAAATGATTAAGTATTAAGTATTCTAAAATGTTTTAATGTTCACATATCACAGATTATTTAAAGAAAAACTTATTTTTATAATTATTGTATAACTATGAAGTCAAATGATCAGTACAAAATCCAGTGAAAGTGGAATATTCTTTCCTATGTTCTATACACATAAGCCCTTGAATGTAAGTCTGAACGTTTAACAAGTATTCAGTAAAAAAAAAAGATTGGTGTTTATTTTAAAGATTAAAATACTAAATCCTGATATAACTAACAAGTAGTAATTAGAAAATGAAAATTAACAATCATTGAATCAACTATAAAAAAAAGGTTATTTGAAATAGGGTCTTGCATTGACAGTGATGAGTAAATTTTTAACTTATTTAGTCCTCTCATTAGTCTGTTGGTAGGATATCTGCTTGGAAATTAATATTGACCGCTATAATTGACGCCTATTAACACTACTAATATTTTATTATATTTTTTTAAAGAATCGAAAAAGGAAAATTTTTTTTTACATAATTATAATATAAAAACTTGAAAAAAATGTTTTCATTTTTTATAAACCGAAAATAAACTGACACCGACATTTTAGTTTTTCAAGAACCCAATCGGAACTGATACCATAAAATGTATAAAGGTTTCAATGCCTGATTCATCTTTGTCGCTTAGTTCCATGTATTACTCTAAATCGTGTACAGCTGATTTAAGTGTTGTGTCATGCGGCGCCGGCATTGATGCACTGATATATCTATGTAATACTAAAACTCTTTGTTCGATACGATTTAAACGTGCACGCATTTACGAGACCAAATAACATTATTTCGACTAAAGGATTAACAATCGCAAAAAACATCCAGTAGACGTGTTACAGTCGTCAACAAACAAATGTTCTGCGCACAAACACTACACAGTGGGACGTACGTAACTCGTAAATGTTATGTTTTGTATTTAAATATGATCTCTAGACCACGTCCGGCGTATTATCGGTTTTCAGTTCGGTCTGATTATCCTGTGAAACTTCAATTATTTATCCTCTGGATTTAAATATGTTACTCGACTTCCGAATGGATCTCGTGTGATTTCAACCGGACGATTTTATCACATATGGATTATAAGTCTAAACGAGAAAATGATAATCGAATAATCATCCAAATTTGTGGAATGTAAAGCGATTTTCCCGAACTTTGCAATTATTATGTCTGTCGAGTATAATAATTATAATTATTTCAAAATGGTGTTTGTTATTGTTCATCATTATTCTAACCAGTTGCACTGTCAAGAATTTTCGAGGCTAAGTAATCAATCCTGTTGAGATTTTTGACTCCCTCAGATTTCAAAAGTAATTATTAAACAAACAAAAAATCGTCTATATCAAATATTAATTAATCTATATTTTATAATATATACTATTCTCCAACGAAGTTTAATTGGAAAATAAATGAAAAAACACCTTTTCAATAATATGCAGTTTTCCTATAAACATATAACATTATTTATGATCCTTTAAAGCATCAATCGTGTTACTACTTGTCATAAATGTTTGTCACAAAAACGACAAACTTTAAACCTCTCTATAAAATAAATGTACTCGCTATTAGTTCTAAAAAACCTCGGTTCTATTCTCCATCACTCAAAATGTAAACCTTAATTTACCATTGATTATATTACTCAGTCTCCCTGAATTAAGTTACCGTTGCTTTATATACGAAGTTATTCAAGTTTTAATTTCGAACTTTCTGTTTTAAAGACCAACAATAAAAATATCATATTATAATCGATCATCCGAAAAAAGAGTTTTCGGTTTTTCAATTGCACCGAAAAATTTTGTTTACCAATCGTTTTTTTGGAATTTTAGAGATCATAACAAAATGTCTGCGGTAATAGTACACGTAAGTGTTCGCGGCAGAATACGACAGTAGTACGATAAATTGACTTTTTAAAACATAATATAGTTAACTTAGCATGCTAACAGCCTACGTGATAAAAACTACACAACGTAATGAATTACAACTAATTATTACAGTATTAGATAATGCGCTTAAAAATGTTAAACACCTGAAATAAACAACTTAAGTTTATAACTTATGATTTAAAGTAAAAATTGTTTTATTCAAAAAGAAAATGTACATGTATATAAGTATAAGTAATTTCATTTTTCTAACAATAAATATAAATATTTTGTTTGTAGCATTAAACACAAAGACTCTACAACAATTCGTTCATAAATTTTAAATATTACTGTGTTATAAGTATTGCTTTATTCAAGCTCTATAAAACCAATTATTTGAAATTTTAATAAAGCGTTATTCTTATACTTATTAGGTTTTCTTTTGGTTTTATAAATATCTACCGTTATGTCACTAAAAAAATTAAATTATTTTATGTTTAGGCTATTATTGTGAAATATATTTCCATGATTATCTTAAGGAAACCACATAACACTGAAAACCTTTGTTACATATGGCAATATACTGAACTGATTACAATATGCAAATCTATAAAGTTTACCCTTTTTAAGTTTTCAAAAACCCTTAATAGTATTTCGATAAAACGAACGCACATAATGTGTATTTATATTCATGTCTCAATACTTTTAACAACTCATCCATAGTAATACTGATAGACAATGGCATCATAGTTTGTTATTTGTTTATGTGTCCATTGGTATGGAACGTAATACAATTCATATTTTAATAGTCGTAATACAGAAACAAACAAATATAGATAATATATTGATTAATCGTAAATAAAGTTATAGTACATTTGCTTAATTAGTTAAAGATAAATCAACTGTTATTAAAAACTCGAGTTAATAAAAACAATTTTAAAACAAATATACGTATATTAAAAATATTAAATTATAAATATGAATATTCTAAAAATGTCTGTGGGTATAAGTGTTTTGAAATATTCATTTGTCATACGAGTATAAGTGATTTATGACTTTACATGTATTTTTTATAAACATAATTTTATCCTTTTTCACTTTTAATGCAAAAAATTATAATAATATTTTCCTACTTTTTATTCATTTTGTTAGACAATTAAAGTTACTCATAGCAATCTGTCTTCTTTAATATTCATAATACAATTATTTCAATATCACATGTAGTAATCCTTATATATGAAGTAAAACTATCGTTTTATAAAGGAACAGTTCCAATTTATTTTTTTTATTTTTGGCTATTAGAAAGTTTTAATTTTCAATAGTTGAATGAAATGTTTGTTTTAAACGTATTTGAATAATTTAATATTATTATTGTGCCTTAACATTTAAATATATCATACGGTTATAATATAAGTAAATGTATATACTATAACTTTGTCGAAATGTATTTTTTTAAGCTGTTGTTTTAAAATTTAATTGTACGAATATGTGAAAAATAGTAAATGTAAAAATTAAAAATTGTACATAATTAAATATATCAATGGTCGATTTGAAGAAGGGTAAACATATACAGGAGATGCATCATTTCAATTTATTTATATTAAAACAATTAATAATTTCATATTATTTATTACATTTCCTTTACTTATATCTAGAAACAATGCAGCTTGTTTATTTATAATTTTTAGAATATTTTCCTTGAAAAAAAAATGTA